CCAAAGTTTAAGACTTTTGGAGGAATTTGGCCAGCAGCGTGCTGGAGGATGGATGGAGATTGTTCTGGAGCATAAATTGAGGTTCTTCTGGTGGGCAGATGGAGATACTCTAAAGGATAAATTGAACTTTTTTTCTGGAGCATTAATGGGTATGCCCAGGAGGATAAATTGAGATTCTCTGGAACAGGAATGGAATTTTGTCTGGAGAATAAATGGAGGCTCTCTGGAGCATAAATGGAGATTTTCCTGGAGGATAAATGGAGACACTGTAGAGGATAATTAGAGATACTTTAGGGGATAAATGGAGATGCTTTAGAGGAGAAATGGAAACTTTTCTGGGGGCAACTGGAGATTTTTCTGGAGAATGAATGGGAATGCTTTGGAGGGTAAATGGAAATTCTCTGTAAGATAAATGGAGATTTTTCTGGGGCACCAATGGAAGTTCTCTGGAACATAAGTGGAGCTGCTCTGGATGTTCCTCAGCTTATCCAGAAGTCCCCAGACAGGCTGGAAACCTGTTACTGTTTGCTCAGTGTCCTGACCTACCTAACTTTATGTATCTGCATCCTGTGGGAATTCCTGTGAGGAATTTTCCAGGGGATTAACACAGTGGAGCAACTCCAGCTTTTATTTATCTCCTGGTGATACTGTTTCTTACCTGTTACCTTGTTGTCTCACTGCTGTAAATATATTTTTATTGTCACAGTCCATTTTTAAGGTTCTTCTGGCTGTTTACCAGAATTCCAGGGATTCTCATTTTGATCCCTGTTGGAGCCCTTTGTTGTTTGTGCACATGCAGTTACTGAGAGTTTAAAGGAATCCTTCCTGGGAAAGATAATAAATTAAGAAAAAACTTCCTCTTCCCCTGTCTAAAGAGAAAATTAAGATGTAATTGGAAAGACTTGAGGGAAAAGCAAGGTGGATTTATGTGGATAACAGGATTTTATTGTGGGAATATTTACTGTCTTTCCTATAAAAAACTCTTCCTTTACTGTGATAATTACCTCATGGAAAAAAATTATAAAAAATATATACAAATATAAATCTCTTCTTGGACTTTGGGAGCCACTGTTGGCCTTTATTTTTTAAAGCAGTTTCACCAATTCCACTTGCACCAATTCCACTTGTACTAATTCCAACTGCACTTATTCCAGTTCCTTATCAGGAGCTGTAATTGAATTGAAATATGGTTTGAGTTTTGCGTCAGTTCTGGCAAAATTAAAGTGCTTTTGCAGTTAATCTGTTGGATGAATTATGTTTTCTGCAAATCTTGCACATTTTTAAAAAGTATTTATTCGCTTACTGCCAGGCAAAAAAAGCTGGAAAGAAGTTACAAACAAATCCATAAAATATGGGGGAAAAAAATGTTGTTGTCATTTAAATTCTTGAAGTGAGTGTTTTGGAGACATAGAGATTCAGCAGCACTTTGGAAAACTAAAGTTTCCAAATAGGAACTAAACCCCCGAGTCTCAATTTTTTTTTTTCCCGAAGGAAAAAATGGTGGGAATTGATTAATTTGTGGCATTTTTTTTTCATTGGAAAGACACTTCAGCCAGCAGTTTCCAGGGTGGTTTAATCCAGAACCAGATGAACTAAGAGATGATCTTGGAATGTATCTCTGCCATCTGGCTTTGTATCAGATCCCGGTGTTAGCGGAGCTCCCGCGGGAGCGCGGATCGGGATCTTATCGCAGATGGGAATCTTACAGAGGAGCAGGAGGAAATTAGCACGTGCCGTGCTCATTGATTTCTTTAAGCTCCACAGCCCTGGGGTCAGCCCAGAAGCCAAGGATATCCTGCTGGAAAACATTAAGGGAGCAGATTAAGTGGGAGCTTTTGTGGGTTTGTGGGCTGAACCTCCGGATCCGCACTTCTTTGTGCGGCTTCCAAGTGTGCCGGAGGAGCCGTGGGGGTTGTGTCTCCACGTGGGGAATAGTTGGAAGGTGTTGAGTTGGGAGTGTTGCAAAGATCCCTTCTGGCTGTGGGAATGACACAGTAGGAGTCTGAATACGAGGAGTCCTTTCCCAATAGGATTTAGACAACTCTATTTTGCCCCCTTCCCCTCAATTTCCAGCTTCTGGGAGATGGTTTAGTTGCCACGGTGGTGACCTGTCAAAGGTTGGACTCAGTGATCCTGGAGGTCTTTTCCAGCCTCAGTGGTTCTGTGAATCCATGTTTCATCCCGTGCTTGGTTTGGCCTTTTCCTCCAGTTCCTTTTCCTAAGTAGTTTCCCTATAGGAATATTGTTTTCTCTGAGGAGACATCTGGGAACTTGCTGGCAGTGGGGGAGTGAGGGGATTGTGGATCAGCCAGGTAAGGAGGCTTGAAGATTCCATGGGTCTTCAGCCTTCCAGGGTCTGAAGGGGCCTGGCTTCTGCTGTAAATCCTTGTCACCTCTGCTGTTGGAAAGTGCTTGTGTGAGGAATGATTGATCCTTAATCCCGGCCAGTCACGTTGCTCACGTTTTCGTGCTGCGGAATATTCATTCCAAAGGGTTTTCCTCGGGGATAAATCCAAGTCTGAGGCTGAAATAAGCCATATGTGTTTGCTGATGGTGGTTGTGCTGACAGGGATAACCTTGAGGTTTTCACCGCCTCTCGCAGGGAGGAATTAGGGTACGGAATTCCACCGGGCTTACTGATGTCAGACTTGAATGGAAAAATGGGAAAGAGGGAGCCCATTCAAACATTTGTGTGTTTCTTCTGGCAGGATGGAGAAGAAGAAAATCCTGATGAAGTCCAAGGTCGCCGCTCCCAACCTCCTGAGGGCACTGCATTCCCTGTACCAGTTCGGGCACCTCTGTGACGTGACGGTTCTCACCCAGCACCTGGGAATTCAGGAGGAGTTCCTGGCTCACAAAGCTGTCCTGGCAGCTTCCAGCAACTACTTCAAGGGGCTTTTCCTGCACGAGGAGATGCTGGACACCAAGACTTGCACGGTGACCCTGCAGGACATCTACACGGAAGAGTTCACCTCCTTCCTGGAGTTCGTTTACACCGCGGAAGTGGAGATCGAAGCGGAAAAACTCCAGCGGATGAAGGAGATAGCCGAGAGGCTGGAATGCAAGGATCTGCTTGACATCTGTGAAGAAGTGAAAGCAGAGGGCAGGAAGGGCTTGGATTTGAGCCTCCACCTGAAAGGACAGAGGGGTGAAAATGGTGGATCCCAGTGGCCTCACATCCAGCACGAGGAGAACCCCGACCTGAGGAGCTCTTCCCAGGTTGTGGCGATTCCTGTGCAGAGGAAACTTTGGGACAGGCAAAAACATAAGAAGTTGCTGGCGGGCCTTGAGCTCATTGGAGGCCAAGCAGTGGGTCTGGAGCAAGAGGACGCTGGTTTTCCAGACCCAAAACCCAGGACAGCAAAGCTGCCAAAATGTAACAATCCAGATTCCACAAACACACTCGGTGTGGATATTGCTAGTCTGGAAAACGAGGATAGTCGCTCCCTCCTAAGTCAGGCTGAGGCACAGGGAGCCTGCATTGTGATTAGGAACACCCTGCCTGAGCGGTGGGAAGACGGAAAGAGTCTAATTTCCCAGTTTTCCACCAAAACAG